TTTTTAGCAAGTCTTTTCTTATTTTTTTTTATGAAATTTATAAAACATCCATCCTTTTATTCTTTCATCTAAAACAAACATCATACAGGTCTGCGATCGTCAATTAAAAAAAATTGACATCTATGAATTCTCGTTTTGAATTTTTTGATACCATCTACTATCAACCAATATCGGTATTATAATTAACCAGTCTCATGCTTATGCTTATGGATGAAACATTTATGTAAGCATATAGTTCATAGAAGACTTTCGCAGATCTTTCTTCAATATGTACGTGGTATAGCCACCAACCACGCTGTAGCTATATTATGGATGGAGCACGAATGGGTTGGCTCCACCGGGCTAGGATCACGCTCTCACTGAATAACAGCGTAAAATAGCAGCTAAATGCTGCCGTGTTTTGTATGGTGAGTGTAAAGAACCGGAGACCCTTTTTACTGGAAACCGGAATTAGCCTTTTTACGGATCTTAGTTCTCAGGGGTGACAACGCATCTGCGTTTTGATTCTTAGTCGAGGATATATGTATGTAGATGTCTATAAGCCACAGCAACTACCTACATACTATCAGGTGGTATATGAGCTTGTGTATCATCCTTTGTTCTTAAAAAAAACACTGGGATAATTACAGCACAAACGGACCATAAAACTAACAATTCGCGTATTTGAACAAATATTGGCTCACATCTATCTCAATCTAACTATTAGCCACGCTTTGTCATGAGCATTTGTCAGAAACGTGAGTTTTATGCATTATAATCATAAATCACGTATTTATTTCACGAGGCACGGACCGTTGTGGCCACACTACGTGCTTATCTATTATTTGGAGCAGAACTCGGTGCCGTTCCAGCGGTTTACGGCAATATGTTGTCAAATATTGAAATCGTCGCTATGATAGTTGTTATGTATGGGATAATGTCTGATAATGTAGGAAAATAGATGATTTTTATTAAAATTTAAACAGACTGGTTAATTTAAGGCTTACACGGACATTGCAAAATAACTTACGCAGTGCGGTGGAAACTTTTCATGCTTCAATAATTTCTTAGACATGGGAGAGACCTGTGTTCGGCAGTGAAGGGTGTTAAGACTATTACTTTACATCCTTCAACTATTAGATATTTTGTTCGGTGGACGGATCAAGATGCATTTAAACCAGTGGTAAATTAATTAAATAAAAATTAAAAATAACCTAAAGTAAAAGTAACCTCCAAAAATTATTCTTTATAATCTTATATATTGATTTAAAAAATCTGTTTCTGTTACCCTTCAATTTTTGTTGTTTCTGTTACGTTTCTTTACTTCTATAAACGATATGTTAAACACATACAGTACTACTAGCGATCTGCCCCAGCTTTGCACGGGTGATATCTGAAACTCAAAAAACAACAGCTCCACATATTGGGTCCAGTTGTGAATCTTACTATTCTTGGATCAATTTAATCACACACACACACACAAAATTTCATCGAAATCTGTCCAGCCGCTATGGAGTTCAGTCACATACACATGGACAGAATATATTGTAATAAATTCATCTCAAAATAAGATAAAATAAGTCGGTAGCTAACTTTCTAGTATTTCTTTATTAGATCTTCTCAGATCTATTTGCTCTTTTTACTATTAGAAGTTATTCTGGAGGTTAAATGTAAAAAATAATAAATATGTGATAGAGGATGTTCTACTTGCTACTCTTGCTTACGTAATTAATCATTATCAGGAATATATCAAATCATCAATCAGAAGACAGCGTATGACTTCACATTCAGTGTAGAGCAAATGCAGTTCGACCAACCATAATGTGTCCGCTACATTCACACACTGAGGTAACGTGAAGGACATAATTACATGATAGCACCAAAGTATGCAAACCAATAGCAGCACTACTAATGTAACACAGGGCATTACTACAGCAACACGATCTTCCTTGCCAACACTAGTAGAATAGCTCAACGGACATGATAACGACAGTGAGGCTCGTAGAATCACCGAATCATCTCTCTTAGTCGCCTGCGCGATACTTATACCGCTTGAACGAGTGGGAGATTACAGTTCTACCGTCATTTGTTCGTACTTCCTTTTATTTTTTCATCCTCATTCCCAACACGGCCTCTCCCGACAAGAGACCGTCCTCGGCCTCCTTTTAGCTTTAAATATCTGTCGCTATCAACGGCATGGGGCAATCACCCTTGTGTGGAGGCTAAAATAACGTTACTGGCTTAATGTAACTTTCCCGCCTGGGCCCTTTCTGACGAAGAAATACGGAATAAGCTTTAACGGAATTGAAAACATTGTCCAAATCAGATTTCGGTATACAACGCTTATACAACGATAACAAAATCTTCTCTGAGAAACACTGCGCACACGGCACAGATTGTACTATTCATTGAAGACACATGCCCAAGCTAAACGCGCTCTAGCGGCCAGTTCCGCTGTATTAGCGCCAGCGAGCGGCTTCACCGCACCAGCGCCAGTGAGCCGCTGCGCCGCACCAGCGCCAGCGATCCGTTGCGCTCTGCTCGCACAGGCAAGTCCCGCACAGGCGAGCACATCCCCCCACCTACAAACCAAACTCAACACCAATATTAATGTAAATTTTACACACACCACCAGCAAATCCAACACTTCTCGCAATATAGGCATCCAAAGTAATTTAAGATTGAAATAGATGTAAAATGTTCCAGATGCATGGAACAAATAATTGATCTGCTTTGCAAAATTAAAAATTAAAAGAAATGAAAATAAATGTATTGCGAACCATAGAATTTCGGACTTCTAAAATTCTCCAAACATTGTCGTAAGAAACGGCAACTGTATGACATGGCGCTCACAAACCATTGCACACATTGTAAAAAGGAAACTGCATGCAAATGGTTAGGTCAGGATTTGCGCCAGTAAAAGACGGCAACGTACCTAGTGCGGCCGTTGTGCGACCGCACATGACACAGTGACACGGAGCACACGCATAGGTGGCTACATGAGGCAAGCGCACGTGGCTATTTAAAACAAATTAGCACTCAAGAAGAACGCTGCACGTATCCGGCATCCATTCTCCCCGCCACTGAATCATGTCTTTGGCGGCCGCACGAGTCGTCCCACTGCAAGATCTACGGTGAAGCAGTAGGCTGCAGCGGTATAGCCTCAATCTTAACAGGGCTCGACCGCACCTGACCATATCCAATTCCGATTCGGTTTTCCAATCAACTTAATAATAATAATAAACTTATCATTAATCGACATAAATTACAGCAGTTATAATAGCAGCAGTTTTTAGTAAAAAACTCTTTTAAAATGGTGTGAGTGGGGTACATAAAAGCAATGTGTATGACGAATTGGAAGAAGAAGTTTCATAAACCTTAATTGTTCATGTAGATGACCAGTAAAGTGTGGTCAATCAATCACCAAATAAACGTTTAGCATTTGTCGACACCCGACGAGTACAATTTAATTTCAATTATCAATAACACTTGTCAACTGAGTTTTTGTTGCTCTCGAAATTTGAGTGAGGTTTAGGAATGATTTGATGTCAACAAACCTAAAATTGATAGAAATTTTATTAAATTGGTCTCAAATTTTTCGAATTTTTATATGCGTTTATCATGGTTTAAATATATTTAATTTATTAAGACAAAAGTGAAAAAATAAAGAATATATTATACTTTTCAAAAACTCCTCTTAAAAGATTGTTTGTTCATTACATGTCTTTGTAGAGTCTAGCAGTAATTTTCTATTACCAATACTAAGTCACTCTTAGCGATTTATTGAATTTACGTCGCACAAAATCCCCTAGCGTTTCAGTAATAGAGCAATAACTGCCATTTGATAATGAACAAAACTCGTTGGCAGAAAGAAAAGAAATATCATCGGAACTCATCCTTATGTAATAGAATATATTATAAATAAATAATAATATAGACCTAAACGAAAATAATAAATAACAAAAATTATATAACTTAAAAAATAGTAATAACTTCGATCGCCTAACTGCCATCCCTGCACCACCCGCCAGCTAACACACTCAAAAAATAAAAGACTAAATATAATACACAAACAATTTACAAAAAAATGATTTGCAAGACAACTACAACTAAATTTTACTTATAATAAATTACAGAACTTAGAACAAATAAAAAGTATCATACAGAAGTATTTCGTATACGACAAGTATACTATGTCCAAAAGACTTTGTATCCATGGTTATGTACTAATTTAAAAAAAAAACAATACCAGCGACAAAATTTACTTGCTATAGCTCTATTAATCTATGCATAAAATATAACCAAAAGCGAGACAATTTAATGCAAAAACAAATTAAAACATAACCGAAAATGTAATTAAAATTTAAAGTGAATATCGTCGTTCATATTGCAATTTGTTCAATGTCGAAAATTTCAATTTTTTTTTATTTCTAAGGTATGCTTTAACTTTAATTTTGAACGCGACTGATAAAGGTTCAATGTCATCTACCAATGGGAAAGTGGCATTTGAAACTTGCAATATGTCACGTGATCGACTCGGCAGTAAATCGTATACAGGCAAATTGTTCTATGTCAAAGTTTGAGTGGCAACGGATTTTTGCTCTGAGAAAAAACAAGTGAAAATGATTAATTAAGTTATAGTATTGTGCTTGTTTCTGAGGTAAGTTGATAGTTATCATAAATTACGTATCATTGTGTGCTGGATTTAGGTGGTTTTCGTTAATATCCTGCTTTTAATTACACTTATGAGAAATCTTAACCTAACTTTTAACAAAAGGCGCCGTAAGTCCGCTTTTTACTGCATTTTTTTTTACTGTAAAGCGCTTAAGACATATAGTGATGCGAATCTATTAACAGATAACTTTTCTTCATAAAAAATGTTTATTTTTACCCTTTTTGTAAATAATACCAAATAAACAATAAGACCTATGTTGCAATACGTAGTTACACACGCGACATAGAACCTTTTTTTAAATTTTGCTTTGGTTTTGTATGCATGGCTTGGTGGTTGATTGTTGCAGATGAATAACACAAGAGGAAGGCGGTTAGTACAGTTAGCTACAATTTCCTTTCCACAACCTCGCCAGCAGCGACTGAACGAAGCTACTGGCCAGTTGCATGAAGATGAAACTATGCAGCAGTGTGACACGTCTAGTGAAGAGGTTTTGTTCGAAGAAGGGTCGTCTTCTGACTCAGACTACCTGCCAGAAGAAAGTAATGTTGGCTTGTTGGCAATCTAATGCATTAGAAGAAAATACGAGCTCCAACGCAGAGGTCCTTGATGAGAAGACAGGAGTGCTTACTCGTAAGGATACCCACAAAATGAATCGCAATCGTTAGGGTCAAGCAGATCAGAAAATGGAAGAGATTAAAAAACTCTAAGGTTACGTTACAAGGTATACAATATGAAGATTTTGAGAAGGATAGGAATGGAAAATACAAACAAATACTATTAAGACCAGCTAAATGCATACAGGCAAGATGTGGTGGGCATACTGAAGTGAAACATGGGGGACCGAGACAAAGGTTTGAATGTGAAATGTTAACGGAAGAAGACCGAAAACTGATTTTTGATTCTTATTGGGCACTGAGTTCTTGGGAAGCTCGTAAAGTATATGTCCGAAATTTAGTAAGTGTATATGCACCACAGCATCGACGTTCATCAAGCGTAGATTCTAGGAAAAACAAAGGATTTAAATATTTCCTATCTTTGAAAGATAATGCTAAGAGAGTTCATGTTTGTAAGCAAATGTTTATGAAAACTTTGTGCATTGGCCAAAGACAACTGAGGGATTGGGTTGTTCCTAGTAAAGATGTGGCATAAAGTTTTATTATCTCTCAAAATAGAAATGATTGTAATGCAAGGACTCAAAATAATGCATCCGATTCAATTCGAGATTTTTTCGACAGTCTGCTGAAAGTAGAGTCCCATTATTGCAGATCATTTTCCTCAAAATTATATTTGGAACCAATCTGTAATAGTGTTCATGGTGATCTGTATCCTGAATATAAAAAGTTTTGTTAAAATACCAACAAGAGACGATATTGTGTTGCGACGTTCGAGAGGAAGTATCGCAAGCTTAATTTGTCTATTTTAAGCCCAGGAAAGACCGGTGCAACAAGTGCTTAGCCTACAAGAATGGTAATATTAATGAAGATGAGTACAGGAGTCACTTGAAGAAAAAATAAACAGCAAGACAAAATAAGGATAATGACAAAAACAATACTGAAGATGATGTATTAGTATATACTATGGATGTCCAAGCGCTACTTCTATGCCCAAGAATCCAGGCATCAGCTGTATACTATAAAACAAAACTTCAAAAGTTCACAATTACACACACTATAATTTAAAAACAAAAGAAGTGATTTGCTATCTATGGCACGAGGGAAGCAGTGGGTTAGACAGTGATGTCTTTACGTCTATTATGATGAAACACCTAAAGGCAGAACTAGAAAAGGCACCAAATACCAAAAAAATTATCCTGTGGAGTGATTGGTGTGGTTACCAAAATCGATCTTTGAATTTGTCTAATGCTCTAATTGAATTATCAGTCGAAAAGAACATCGAACAAAAATACCTCCAACTTGGGCACACCCAGATGGAGGTCGGCTCGATACCTAGCAGCATCGAAAGAAAGTTGCCACCTCATGAAGAAGCGCAAGAAGCAAGCCTGAACCGTATAAAGTAGTTTGTCGAAGCTACAGTGATTTCAGCAGGTATGAAGGTGGTAGATACTCCAGTATTCGACCAGGAAACAAAAAAGGCGACCCACTTGTAGTTGATATTGTAAGCCTGCAATATAATCCAGGTGGGATCATACGGTATAAGTTGGACTTTAATGACGACTTCAAAGAATTACCGCGACGCTCAAACAAAAACTACACACGAACTGATACTGCTCATTATCAATCATTTCTCCCTATTGACACTACAAAATTTATTCATTTACAAGAAGTAAAACCACTGATTCCTAAAGATTATCACCCTTTTTATGACTCCTTAGAACATAATTGTTCAGATCCTGATGCCTGTCCTCATAAACGAAATAATTAGTGTGCAATGGTCGCATTGCATACTAAATATTAATTATTACATTCGTTACATCATTTTCTTCATTTTACCCTGCCATTTAAGTTTAATTTTAAAATAAGTTTAATTTTATTTTGTTATAAGCTAACAACATTTTTAAGTTTGTCAATAAATTTTTACGTCTATATTGTTGTTTATTTTTCTTAACTATACATATTTGTGATTATTTCTACTTTAATTATAAATAACTTGAATAAATACTTTACCTGATTTTTGAAATTATCTGTGTATTATTTCATACAAATAAACTATCATTATGTTACATGTCACAAATTTTACGTCAATAGTAGTTACAATAGGTTCTATGTCAAATTTCTAACATAATGTTACGAGCTTGAGGTTCGTGACAATAAAAATTGCCGATAAAATTACCTAAATTAACACTTTAATTTACTTTACACAAATTAAAACTAAAAACACTAATAATTAAACACACTAATTCACTTAATTCCGTTCCGAAGCTTCGCTTGTACTAGGCGACTAGTTCATCTCTGCCCGATCGCATCTTGCAGCGCCTACTTATATAAATTAGCAAAATATCCAGAATTTTCAAGTAAACACGCGCAAGGTACCGAGAGTTCGAGTTTTAAACTTCAAGAAGTTTAGTTCTTCGGGTGGCGCTGTCGGTCGAGTGATTTGTGATGTCATTTTCTCAATGCCCCCCCTCGCTCTCGTTCCTGACACTAGATGGCGCTAGTGTATCGTCGACTTGAGCGCGTAACACTGCTCCCTCCTAAGACATGCTCGTCCCGAGCATTATCGGCCCCATAATAACGCGCCAAGCGATCCACATGGACGATCTTAGGAGTCCCTCTTGCGCCTTTCTGTAACGGCTCCGCAATGTCAAGGGCTGTTCTATCCCGTGGTGCACCAACATTGTACAATTTCGGTGCTCCTCTACTACGTGTCTGAGGTCCCCGCACGGCACAGCTGTAGCACATTCGGCACTTTAGCTTTAGGGACAACCATTTGCAAACGACAGCTGTCCCTTCGACCATTGTCCCATTTACGGCACAGGACTCCATCCTGAATCAGCAAGCTGTCCCATTGGACCCAATAGCTTTTCGTGGTTGAACTCATCGCTGAGACGTCCCTCCACTTAGGCTTGGTAGCACGGGCCTTCACCCATCCCAGAATCGGCTTGATGTCCGGATCTTCCTGCTGTGCATGTCGTAGGCTGTCCTTCCACCCGTTGCTGAGGTGGTCTGTCCTGAGCATCCTCACGGATACCACTTTCTTACGTTCTTGCCTACTACAATGGTTGCAATCTTCAGGACAAGGTCTTCTTGTCAATGCATCTGCGTTGCCGTGAGATTTCCCGCTGCAGTGTCTGATAGTAAAGTCGTATTCCTGCTGCTGCTGGGCGGTGCTGTTAGCCGCACTTCCTTTCTGAGACCGTTCACCTTCCCTTCCTAGGGTGTGCTTAGGGCAGCTGGACCGAAGATGGCCCCTTTCCCCACAGCCATAGCACATAGGGCTGTATCTTTTATTGTGGTCGCGAACCGTAACTGCTGTAACCTCCCTAGCGTGAGGTGAACGATGATCCTGTCGCCGCCAGGCAGTGCCGTTAGCTGCACTACCCTCTCGAGATCGATCAACTCTCCTTTCCACGGTTCGTTTAGGGCAGCTGGATCGAAGATGGCCCTTTTCCCCACAGCCATAGCACCTAGGGCTGTATCCTTTGCTGCGGTCACGGACTGTAGCGGCTGCAACCTCCCTGACGCGATGGGAACGATGATCCTGCCGCACGGCTTCCACCTCCAGTGCATGGGCCAAGGCGTCCTTAAGCGTCTCGTGGTGCCCCAGCCTCACAGCAGCTCTGACTTCAAGGTCGCGGATGCCGTCGATGAATGTCTGCACCAGGTTACTTTCAATGAGCGCAGGTACAGACTGGTATGCTTTTCGCACCAGCTTCTCCACCTCTAGAGCCCACTGCTGCAGGTTTTCGTTGATGCGCTGCACGCGATCTTTAAGCTGCGCACGAAAGACGTGTTCCAGGTGAGCGTCGTCATATCTCGCCTCCAACGCCTCAAGGAGTTGCTCATATGTCACTTCCTCACAGAGAGCTTCCAGAACTGTTAAGGCCTGGTCGCGCAGGCCTAGTGTGAGAGCAGTCATGGCCTGACTTTTATTCCAGCCGTTCGCCTTCATAACAGCCTCGAACTTGATTTTGTAGGCTGACCAGGAAGAGGTACCGTCGAACGGTGGCACCTTGAACCCACGTAGCGAAGGTGTTCTAGCTACTACGGGAGCTGTAGCTCCATCTCCAAGTTTGAGTTCGTCCAGTGATTTCTTCATGTCAGCCATTACGTTGTCAACCCGATTGTTTTCTTGGTCGATTCGGGTTTCAGCTTTCTCGATTCGGTTTTCAGCTTCCGACAGGCGGTTGTCATGGTGAGCAACCCTATCCTTCACCTCCTTTATCTCCTTCCCGAAGGTAGCGTGAAGGTCCTTCATGAGGAGCATCTGTTCCTCCTGTCGGCGGGCCTGTTCCTCGTGTCGGCGGGCCTGTTCCTCCTGCTGCTCTTTAAACTGACTGGCCTGTTCCTCCTGTCCGCGCTTCAGCTGCTCTTCGAACCGACGAGCCTGTTCCTCCTGTCGGCGGGCCTGCTCCTGCAGCATCACCATCAGGGCGCCCAAATCAGGTGCTGCAGATGCAGGAGCTACTGACGGACCGGCCTCCGTTGCCGGCCGCTGGCCCTCCGACGTCTGCGGCGTTGCACCACCAAATCTTCGTTGGTCCGTCTCCTGCTGGCGTTGACTTCGGGTACGGACACCCTCCGTTTCCTCCTTAGGTAAAATCGGCATTATTTTATCCCACTTCTGACACCAATAGTTACGAGCTTGAGGTTCGTGATAATAAAAATTGCCGATAAAATTACCTAAATTAACACTTTAATTTACTTTACACAAATTAAAACTAAAAACACTAATAATTAAACACACTAATTCACTTAATTCCGTTCCGAAGCTTCGCTTGTGTCGCCTAGTTCAACTCTGCCCGATCGCATCTTGCAGCGCCTACTTATATAAATTAGCAAAATATCCAGAATGTTCAAGTAAACACGCACAAGGTACCGAGAGTTCGAGTTTTAAACTTCAAGAAGTTTAGTTCTTCGGGTGGCGCTGTCGGTCGAGTGATTTGTG